AAAGCTCACAGCAACCTCAAACTCTTGGGTTCAAGCGATCCTCTTGCCTCAGCCTCCCAAGTAGTTGGGACTACAGGCACCCACCACAATGCCTGGCTATTTTTTATTTTTATTTTTATTTTTTGAGACAGAGTCTTACTATGTTGCCCTTGGTAGAGTGCTGTAGCATCATAGCTCACAGCAATCTCAAACTCTTGGGCTTAAGCAATTTCTCTTCCCTTAACCTGCCAAGTAGCTGGGACTACAGGTGCCTGCCACAACGCCCTGCTTTTGTTGTTGTTGTTGTAGTTGACATTGTTGTTTATCGGTTCTGGCTAGGTTCGAACCCGCCAGCCCTGTTGTATGTGGCCTGTGCCCTAGCCACTGAGCTGTGGGCACGGAGCCACCTGGCTAGTTTTTAGAGATAGGATCTTGCTCTGGCTTAAGCTGGTCTTGAACCTGTGAGCTTAGGCAGTCTGCGCACCATAGCCTCCAAAGTGGGATTACAGGCGTGAGCCACCGCGCCTGGCCCCTGTACTGTGTTGTTTAGGACTGTAGTCCCCTCCCCACCTCAGTCTGCACAATAGGAAGTGAGCAAGCCAGTGAAGCTTCATCTGTGTTTGCAGCTGTTCCCTGTTGCTAGCATCACTGCTTGATTCTGCTTCCTGTCAAATCAGGGGCAGCATTAGTTTATCATAGGAGTGCATACACTCATGTAAACTGGAGATGTGAGAGATCTAGTGTGTGGGCTCTTTATGAGAATCTAATGCCTGATAATCTGAGGTGGAGCTGAGGTATTGATGCTAGCGCTCGGAAGTGGCTGCAAATACAGACTATGACTAGCAGAGACGTTTGCAGCATCGAGACTGTAATAAATCAATTGCTCCCACATTTATCAAAACCCTGTAAGTGAGTGGCAAGTGACAATTAAGGTGCATCTTGCGGCAGGCTTTATAATGGCAAGCAAGTTGATGTACTTTAATTGTACAGCACATCTGATAAAGGCTTTCAGTCAGAATCCGACGCTTATTTTAGTCTGCACATGGCCTGCTTATTTTATTTGCCACTTCTGTCTGTGCTTCTTTTCCCTCACTGTTCACTTATCTCAGTCACAGTTGTGGTAAGTGCACAAGCTAATGCTAGCAAAAATCAGTATAAAACAAATATTTCTGGAGAGCTTCTTTGAAAAGGGAGAAAGACCCAATGATGAGGCAGCAGAAGAGTTAAGACTGCCAGCAAAATGAAAGCTGCATTTAAAAGCAAATGCCAAGGATTTAAATTTAAATTACTGGTTCATTACAATGGGTGTGGTTTTGTGTTCTTTAAACCTGCTTAATGTATAGTGGCGACCAGCTATCCAGTGAAGCCCTGACACCTTTAAAACTGTTTAACCACATGAAGAGTACCAAGTACTCTTTATTAAAGGACAAGCCTTTGGAGTTTTTCAAAAGAAAAAAACATGAATATGAAAAACAGAAACAAAAATTAAAGACCACCAGTTTATGAGCTCCTCACATATCTGACCTAAGAGCATCAACCTTAGTGGTTAGTCACATTGTGAACGCTAAGAAGCCCTTTACTGTTAGAGAAGAGTTGATCCTGCTTACTGCTAAGTGCATATGCTGAGAACTTTTAAGAGAGGCTGCGGTGTAAAAGGATAGAGAGTCACTGTGGTATGAGTCACTGTGGTATGCAGTCCAGGTTGATGACTCTTCCAGTATTGGCATTAAGGCAACAATACTTATTTTTCTGGGATGTGTTTTTCAGGAGGATGTGCATGAGGATATGTTATGTGTACTTTTATTGCCAACCACCAGCACAGCTGCAGAACTATTTAAGTGTTTGAATGATTACATGTCAGGAAAACTGAATTGGGCATTTTGTGTTGGTATGTGCATTGACGGAGTTGCTGCCATGACTGGACAGTTTTCTGGTTTTTCACTACTTGGTCAGGGAGGTCATGTCTGAATGTGAATAGGTATACTGTGTTATCCATAGAGAAATGCTAGCTAGCCAAAAATTGTCACCTGAAGTAAACAGCTTTTTGCAGGGATGTGATTAAAATCATCAACTACATTAAAGTACGTGGCCTTGCATGTCTGTGCAGCTGTGAGAAGAGATGGCTGCAGAACACACATCTTCTCTCATGCACAGAAGCAAGATGGCTTTCTAAAGGTATATCACTGGCCAGAGTTTTTGGTTACAAGAGCCACTCCAGGGATTTCTTTTAGAAAATCAGTCACCACTGGCAGCACATTTCAGTGACATAGAATGAGTCTCAGAACTTGCTTACTTGTGTAACATATTCTACATGCTGGACAAACTCAATTCTATCTTTTTTTTTTTTTTTTTTTTTTGCTGGGGCTGGGTTTGAACCCACCACCTCCGGCATAGGGGGCCGGTGCCCTATTCCACTGAGCCTCAGATGCCGCCCTTAATTCTATCATTTGAGGGAGAATGACAGCTATGTTCAAGTCTTCATACAGATAAAGTTGTTGTGTTCAAAGCCAAATTGGAATTATGGGAGCAACGAGTGACGTTGGATTTGTTGACATTTTTCAAACATTAGCAGAGATTTTGAAAGAGACTGAGCCAGGGTCGCCTTTCTCCCAGCTGGTGCATGATAACATATCTCAGCTTTCTTGAGAGTTTGAGCATTATTCCTCAACCACAAAAGATCCCCAAAGTGGGAAGGAAGGGATCCACAACCCATTTGTGAGTAAGCTAGGTGAATTGACTTCATGCTAGAAGAAAGTCCCCTGCTTGGTATTGCAAATACTTACAGTTCCCTTAAAGGTATGTTTGAGATAATTTCAAACCTCCATATGTTCTGGATTAAAATCAAGGAGGAATATCCTGAGGTTGCCACAAAATCACTGAAAAGCCTGCTTCTATTTCCAACATCCTATCTTTGTGAAGCAGTTTTCTGCAGTGACAGCAACTAAAATGAGATTACAGAATAGATTGGACATAAGCAACACACTTCAGGTGTCATTGTCTCCCTTCACCTAGAGATGGTACTATCCTAGTTGGAGGAAAACAAGCTCAGGGCTCCCACTGATTCTACATTATGGTAACTTGTATAATTACTTCATTATATGTTGCAATGTAATAATAATAGAAATAAAGTACAGAATAAATGTAGTGGGCTTGAACCATCCTAAATTTTCTGCCTAACTGGTCCCTTGTGCCTAAAAGATTGGGGACAGCTGGTTTAGAGGACAGTGACAAGAAAAAAAGTATATATTCAGTGCAGATGGAGTTTTTTTTCTTGAATGGTTTCCCTCTGAGTTTGGTGGAACTCATGGATATAGGGGCCACCTATCCTTGATTAATAACTTGACTGGTTAAAGAATTATAGGCTGAAACAATTTTAATTCTGAATTTTGAAGGCTGCATATTCATTTTCTAGCTTTGAATAGTATTTCATTTTAACTTTGGAATAAATGTTCAGTGCCATTCTAATTATAAATCATTTTTATATGACTTGGTTTTTTTATTCCTCTCCGGAAGGTTTTTAAAGGGCTTTTCTTATTTTCAAAATTTGAAATTTATGATGATGTGCCATGATGTGGGTCTTTTTTTTTTTGTTGTTGTTTATTTAACATATACTTGTTTCTTTTACAGTTGTTTCTTTGAAAGTTTCTTTTACACTTGTTTCTTTTACACTTGTTTCTTTGAAAGTTTCTTTTCTTCTGTAAAAAAAGGTTATTTATTTCCCGCAATTATAAGAGGGACTTTACCCAACAAATGCAATCAGTGTAACCTGGTTTCTTGTACCCTCAATGAATCCCCAATTATTAAAAAAAAAGTATAATTCTATACCTGTTATTTTTCTGTTTTCATTTTCTGCATCACTCAGTTGTTGACCCTTTTGGAATGAACTTATGTTTTCCTTTCTAATCTATATTTGTCTTCTTTCTTTCTTTTACTTTCTGTATTTGAACTTTTTATTTATTTTAGTGGCACTTCAATGAGATTTAGAAGAATATGGAAATAACATTCTGTTGTATTTGACAGAATAAAAGTTTAATGTTGATTTAAAGTTGTTTGCATTTCTTGCTAAATTCAAAATTTTCTTTTTTGTTTTCAGAGATGTTATGAACATAAACAGTATAGAAATGGATTGAAATTTTGTAAACAAATCCTTTCAAATCCCAAATTTGCTGAGCATGGTGGTAAGTGCAAGTAGATAAGGTTTTACTGCGTACTTGCCTGGCTTCTCTCACTAGGCTTTGTGACTCCTTTCAGCCTTAACTATTTTTCAGAGGGAATGGACCCTCTTATCTTCCTGTGAGAAGATGAAATGTAATGCGAGAAGATGAATGTTTTAACTTAATATTAAGAAAATAACTTCTTAAATAAATTCTACTTGAGTTCTGATTTCTATTTATATTAATTCTATTAGTATTCTATTCTATTAATATTTAATTAGCTGTGTTGTAGGGAAAGCAGAAGAACTTCATAGGGCAATATTCTTATTTAAATAAAATTCTGTTAGGAGAAAAGTTTAGTTTTATGCTTGACATTAAGCTTATTCAGAAAGTGACCATTTGCTCCTTTGCTTATGAACTATCATGTATTTACATTGTATCTTGGTTTTTCAAGACTGAGTCACATTTAAGACATGATTTATTTATTGTAACAGTTTGAAAATTTATTAGCTTTTACTATATGAAGGTAGACAATTGGATGGTGAGATGTTTGTAGGACAAGGGGAGAGTATGTTGCTAAACTGGTGAGGAGACAAAGGAAAAATAAACTTTGCAGGTCTCATTTGTACAGTTAGGAAATAATATGACTCTTCAAAAACTAATTTGTTAATGTGCTCTTTGTATTGCAGAGGTGAGAGAGAGTAATAATTCTCTGTTAGCTTTCTTTTTTTTTTGCCCACATATACAATATACTTTTTTTTTTTTTTTTTGGA